GTATCTTTTGGAGCTGTTGCTTCAGGAGCTCAGAGCCCGGAGCGGCAGGCGGGGAACGTGTTCTCTGTCACTGAAGCAAGCAAGCAAGCCTCCCTTTTGCATCAGCTGCCTGGCTGCCGGCCACCATCTTGGCTGCCAGTTAATTTGCATATCTCGGCCCTACTCTGTGAGTGACAGGGGGATTAGCCAATGGGAAGGGTAGCGGTCGTACGCCAATTACCATGTTTCTCTTTTATTAGTGTAGATGATATAAATTTTCCCAGCAAAGCACCTCTTACACAAAGGAAAGGAAAGACTTACGTAGGAGTCCTGAAGTTACAGTTAAAACAGCCTTCAATAAACACCTAATAATTAATTCAAGTTTCTTTTCTCCTTTAATAATTTATGTGAATTACATATTCTACTCCAAAATATGTCTGTATTTTCTCCATCACAAAAATAAGGTAGCTTCTATTTCAAATCCTTCAAGTAAAATTAACTTGCCATAAAGATTCATCATGTCTGACCTGTTTCATGGTTCCCTTGATACAATGAGAGCCCCAAAGCTTCAGAAACAGAATTCTGCACCTACAATTAGTTTTCTTACTTCCTTCGATCTCCTCTTCACATTTAAGCTGATGGAAGAAGATGGGGTAAGAATTCTACTTCCCCTGAACCGAGTCAGCTTAGACCCCCTCTAAAACCTGAAAGGACAAGACATCCCAGAGTACTGATGGCTGCCTTTCCAACACCTATTCTCGTCCTCATCCTTTTTCCTAAGAGAACCCCAATTTTCTTAAAGTTACCTATCCTTTTCTGGGTATCCAAAAGGTTTAGTAATGGCCTCAACAACATCTACGGGGGTTGAGTTTCTATGTTCTAAGCCAATCACTTTGCTATAAATGCTTGAGACATGCCTGAGCAAATCACAATTCTGGCCAATGAGATGTGAAAGAAGGTCTACAGTGCGGTTTCTGGGTAAGTTTCCTTGCTCTCATACAGCAGAAGAAATGGTTCCATTTTTGTTTCCGGACTTTTTGCAAGGCAAGAAGGTTAATGAGATTTGGAACTGCTTTTGACATCTTGTTATCACAAGAAGAACCAGGCTGAAGAAAGGGGCAACATAAAAGGAGGCAGAGCAAAGAGAACATCAAAGAAGAGTCAGGAACTGCTCTACCTTACAAGTTCTTATGTGAAGTAGTAAATGTCCTTAAGTTGGAGCCCTCTGAGTCAGGGTTTTCTGTTTCTTACAATAGAAAGAATCCTAGCTGATACCATCTTTCAGTCACTTGGCAAATCACCTCTCTATATGCAACCGTCTATTCTCTGCCTCCCTGGAGCATAAAACCTTATTTAAAGCCAGTACCATTTTAGCAATCTAAGGAAATAAAGGAAGAGGGAACTATTAAAAGAGTAATTTTGTAAATGCCTATAGGGTAATAATAAATATTAGAACCCTGAAAATAACATACAGTTGACAGGTCAATATATGAGAAAATTTACTGAGCACCACTACGTATCAAAAACTGTCCTGTAAACAGACTGAGGAATCTCAGAGGGAAGGGGGAAGGGAAGGTGGGAAGAGATTAACCAAAGAACTTATATGCATACATTCATTACCCATGGACACAGACAATAGAGTGGTATAGACTAGGAGGATTGGGGTATGGATAAACGGGGAAATGGGGGGGGGAGTAAATATCTATAATGCTCTCAATAATAAATATTAAAAAATAAAATAAAATTTTAAAAAACTTGTCCTATAGCCCTGCCTGGTTTGACTCAGTAGATAGAGTGTCAGTCTGCAGACTGAAGAGTCCCAGGTTTGGTTCTGGTCAGGGACACATGCCTGGGTATGGGTTCGATCCCCAGTGGGGGTATGCAGGAGGCAGCCTATCAGTGATTCTCTTTCATCAATAATGTTTCTATCACTCCCTCTCCCTTCCTCCCTCAAATCAATAAAAATGTATTTTGGGGGGAAAACAATACAACAAAAACTTTCCTGTAAGCTATATGTATATTTCATATTTAATCCTCAAAATAGGCCTGTTATCTACCTATTATAAACAAAAAAGGTGAAGCTATACAAGACCTGCAAAAAGTTGTTGAATATATAGTGGATGAGTAGAAGAGATAGATTTTGAAACTAGTCAGGCTGGCTCCAAAGCTCAATACTTTTTCTTCCTATTTTGGATTTTTATGGAAAATAGGCAGAGGCACATGCAGTAAGACTGAATTACTGAGTATTACAAACACAGTCTTAAAAACATTTTGAAATAAATTGAGACAAAATTTTCTTTGAGTATTATATGTAAATTTGAATTGTATTTTGACTATGTTTAAAGTGAAATTAACAAAATTAATCAATAACATGAAGAGGTGAATCAGAAATACTACATAGTTAACCAGAAAAAAGGTTATAAAATTGATATCCTTCAAAATGTATATTTTCAGCCGAAACCGGTTTGGCTCAGTGGCTAGAGCGTCGGCTTGCGGACTGAAAGGTCCCAGGTTCGATTCCGGTCAAGGGCATGTACCTGGGTTGCGGGCACATCCCCAGTGGGAGATGTGCAGGAAGCAGCTGATCGATGTTTCTCTCTCATCGATGTTTCTAACTATCTCTCTCCCTTCCTCTCTGTAAAAAATCAATAAAATATATTTAAAAAAAAACAAAAAGACCACACCTAATTTCAATAACAGTGTTACTAGATTTTTGAAGTCAACTTACATCAGCGGTTCTCAACCTATGGGTCGCAACCCCTTTGGGGGTTGAATGACCCTTTCACAGGGGTCGCCGAAGACCCCCGGAAAACACATATGTAATTACATATTGTTTTTGTGATTAATCACTATGCTTTAATTATGTTCAATTTGTAACAATGAAATTG